TTAGCTGCAAAAGAGGAAGATTGATTAGACGAACGCGTAAAAGATGACTGAAAATTAACTTACAGGAGAAACAGGTGCATTATTCGAAACTATTTCTTCTGTCTGTGTTTTGTCTATAGCCGAGAAATTTGACATATATTAAGGATATTTAGGATGTGAGTAGACTTACTGATAACCGACAGTGGCCGCTGAATTACCCGTTCATAAAACAACATGTATGCTGTTGCCGTCAGATAGTCAGTATGGTCCCTAAAAAAACGTTTATATACCAGACACAATTTTCTATAAAATAAAAATGTTAGACTGACTTGTTTATACCTCCAAAGCACGCTTCTTCTAGCCCAATGTCGGTGTGCAGTTCTGGACAACGTGTGACACTCGTGTCATTGAATAAATACCATTGATCGTCCAGTCTAGAGAGAAATAAGGCGATCGATTATAACGATCAATATTCATTTTGCTATAGATGGGAAACAAATCATCTCATATCTTACTTATTGAATATAAACGAATAGTAGTGTCCCACTGCGAGTGACACGCCATCATGGTTAACGATCCCAGCAAGTTTATAATTTGTATTTTTTTCTAAAGAAAAGCAATTAAAATCATGTATAGGTTAAGACGCAGTTCACTCACCATGTGCATGCATTGGTGATATAAACTGTTTCATGCTTAAATCTCGCGGAAATGAGAAGTATTCGTTGATTTTTCTGGAGCTAATACCATCGATGTATTCGAATCGTTTGATTTGAAAGACAAAAAATTCTGGGAGTTCGTCCAACGATATCTGTTTCTCTGCATCAACCTAAAACAAATAAAAACATAATAGTATTGATGGTATAAACTGATTCAGTTTCTCTCTTACTTTCAGCTTACATCCTTCGCAAGCATACTGCTCGTTACCATTTAATAATTCCGCTTTGAAATATGATTGTAGCGAATTCATGAGATTATTTTGTACCCGGAAATTGCTGTCAAATGCTAATGGGATATGAGTAAATAGTTCTCGTTTGTAACATCTGAAGGAGAGAAACGAGATTTGTATTAAGAGTACAAAGGAGATTCTGTATTACGGAAGTCAAAAAATTTACTAACACATGGCTTCGACTTGTCAAGCAAGTTATTTGTTGTATATGTATGCTGCTGAACACACGTTCAAACGGTTTGATGCCACAAATGTAATCAGTTGCCTTGTCAATATCTTCTGCCAGAGTTAACCAGAATTCGTGGCAGTCTTGCATACGTGTCATATGTTCGAATAAATTTGTATCTTTCTTCTGTTCGTTTGCCACATACGCTAACGGTGCTCGCTCATGCTTCAACCTAAAACAAAGTGTATCACTGTAACTTATCCACAAGATTAAAAGGGGCACAATACCGGAATATTTTCCAAAACATCTTCGGTGGGAATGAAACGACCGGCTTCTTTTGTAGATGATAAAATATTTGTTTCAACGAATTCAACAATTCAAATACATAACCATCCTAGGACAAAAAAAACTAACAACTGAATGATTCGAATAATGAAAAAATGCTTACTGAACAGAACGCTTTGTTAACAATATTTGGTTTTGACTGTATATCTTCAACCCGCACTTGGAGCACGGTGATACAAATTTCTTCAATCATAAAAAGCTGCAGCAGAACACATAAATAATTAGACAACAGCAGTCTTCACTCACAGGTGAAGAACTACCTGTTGCAAAATCGCATTCATATAACACGTAACACCAGCATTGATCAGACCAACGAAATTTGACGGTACATGTATCTGATTATCAGGAAGATTGTAAAATGTCGTGCTACAAGCTAAAAAAAGAACTAATTTCCACATCTGAGAACTGCCGGATCACAAGTGTCGTACGTGCTTTGAGAATGTAGTCAAATAACGGTATCTGAATTTGT